CAAGGTCGCCCAGCCGCTACGAAGTCAAGCCCGCCGGCCGCCGCAACGTCAAGCCTGCTGGCTGCCCTATTCACCCGTAACCTAAAGAGATGGATGAGGAGAAAAGGATGGCTCACGGCCCTCTTCCTACCCCGAGAGCACCCCCCAGAGCTCGCTCCAGTGTCGGCTCCAGCCCCTGAGTTCGCTCCAGTATCAGCTCTATCCCCTGACCAGAGTCGAGAGATGGCTCTAGCCCCAGACCAGCATCAAGATTGGGCTGCAGTACCCACGTTTAGCCCACGTAGGGCTCCTGTTCCTGAGTTTAGCCCACGGAGGGCTTCTGTTCCTGAGTTTAGCCCACAGAGGGCTCTTATCCCCAAGTTTAGCCAATAGAGGGTCCCAGTCCCCGAGTTTAGTCCAGTGAGGGCTCCTGTCCCCGTGTTTAGCCCACAGAGGGCTCCTGTCTCCGAGTTTAGCCCAGAGAGGGCTCCAGTCCCCGAGTTTAACCCAGAGAAGGCTCCAGTCCCCGAGTTTAGCCCAGAGAGGGCTCCAGTCCCCGAGTTTAGCCCAGAGAAAGCTCCAGTCCCCGAGCAGCTGAGTCCTTAGCCATCTTCAAGAAATGACTAAAAACACATCTGTGTGTGTGTGTGTGTATATATATATATATACACACACCTTTACGTGTACTGCGTTAGGCTAACCGAGACTTGTCATTTGCACTTATATATTGTTGCTCTTTTGTTAGTTTTGACTGCTTTTATTGTCCTCATTTGTAAGTCGCTTTGGATAAAAGCGTCTGCTAAATGACTAAATGTAAATGTAACCAAAAAACATCTTCAAAATGCTGCAAAAAAAATTATTTTTTTCTTTTCTTTTTTTACAAAATAAGTTTTTTTTTACCTTAAAATAAATGTTAACTTAAAATAAAAGCACCACTTGATAAAATTATCATAAAATATGTAAATTAAATTGCCCGTTTAATTTTGGTTATATCCAATATCACATAAGAACTCAAAATAACCAAACCGTGAATTATTTTCCTCACAATAGACTGGGTGTAGCACACTAGGTAAGTGATTTTAGATTCTGTATTGTTATTTTTACTCACCAATAATAATAATAATAATAAACAAAGTGAAAGGCAGCGCTTGACACTTGTTTCTGCATCAATGTTAATGTCATTTGATAAAGACCTTCAATAAACACACCACCGCTCCCACATTGGGGCTTAAAAAAGAAGAAGAAATAAAACTAAATAAAACTAAATCAAATAAAGTTAAATAAATAAAATAAAATGGTTTCCAAAAATGCATTTTAAAAATCTATATTTTTCTAATGAGGGACATGGAAGTCATTTTACTTAGTATATACCTGTATTCCCCAGCAAGCAAGCAAGCAAGCAAATAAATAAATAAATAAAGTAGTAGTTATTGAGCAATTTTAAGGGTTAGTTCACCCAAAAATTAAAATTCTGTCATTAATTACTCACCCTCATGTCGTTTCAAACCCGTAAGACCTTCGTTCATCTTCGGAACACAAATTTAGATATTTTTGATGGAATCTGAGAGCTGTCTGACCCTGCATAGACAGCAACACAACTGAAATGTTCCCAAGTCCAGAGACGTAGCAAGGAGATCCGAAAAAAAATCCGTGTGACATCAGTGGTTCATCCGCAATTATACGAAGCTACGAGAATACTTTTTGTGCGCAAAATTAAAAAAATAACGGCTTTATCTTATCTTTAACAGCGTATCTGTGTGGCGCAGCTGACACAGAACAGCATACGTTGTTTATGTCCAGCGGATATTCTCCAAAATGGCGCTACAGGGTGATGCGGAGGAGACGAATTGTTGAATAAAGCCGTTTTTTTTTTTCTTTTGCACACAAAAAGTATTCTCGTAGCTTCGTATAATTGCGAACGAACCACTGATCTTTACAGATATCCTTGCTACGTCTCTGGACTTGGGAACATTTCAGTTGTGTTGCTGTCTATGCAGGGTCAGACAGCTCTCAGATTCCATCAAAAATATCTTAATTTGTGTTCCGAAGATGAACGATTTGATCAAACGACGGTTTGAAACGACATGAGGGCGAGTAATTAATGACTGAATTTTCATTTTTGGGTGAACTAACCCTTTAATATCTGCACTTCTCTGCTACAAGAACACACATAATCCCAAGCTCTTCGCTAGTGACTCCTGAACTGTGAAGCTGAAGTCAACAAACAGGACATTTTTTGGGTTCTGTAAATTAACAAACATGCAAGTTTCCTTTCTTTTCAATACCAGTGAACACCTTAGAATTCACCGCTTATATGCGCTTTACTAAACCACACATCCCAACAAAGCACACTTGTCAATGTCTCATGTAAGTAGTCCAAGTTGGACTTGTTTGCTTTCTTCTGTCCTATCAAGTATGAAGATACAGCAGTAAAACTGTTTTGTCTCATCACTATGTCTATATAAGATGCAGATTAATCAGAGTTTGCTGTCAGATGTGGCAGAGTTTGGCATGTGTGACAGCGACACCACACCTACACTATTATGGCATGTGTGAACATGATTAAATGCACTAACATGCCTCTATATTGCTTCCATTGAAATTATAATACAACTGAATGTACTTCAAAGCAAAGGTTAATTCAAATCAATTCAGATGATTTCAGAGGGTGGAAAGCCACTCCCGGGCATTAAAATGAACACTGATGCCTAGAACCTATTCAGGTGTCACAGGTACATTGTGTACCATCACAATGCGCACTTCATCTGTTTTGAGGGTATTTGTTCCGTGTCCTAGTAGATGTCGTTCTGCAACACACATGCCTTCAGAGATCATACGAGGGCATTTGCCATCCAGGCATTGTTTCTCATGTGTGCGTGTTTACAGTACGTGCTTGTGTTACAGTTGTCTGAATCTGTATCACCTGTCATTATAATAGGTGGACAGCAGGCTTTGGATTTCAGAAGAAACAGGTCTGTTCAGGGGTTGCAGATGGTTTCTGGTCTTGGTGGATGGCGACGTAACTGCATAAAAAAAGGTAGACAAAGAACGTGTTTAAGAAACCGCGTAATTGAAGATCTTGAAAATAAGTCACCAAGGTGTTTTTTTTTTTTTTAACTAATCAGTTCTAACAGACATTTTACAGTCTGGTGAGATGAAAATTGTGATTAAAAACTGCATTTAAAACATTTAAAAAACATTTTATTTATTATAAAATATTTATTAAAAATGAATAAATAAAACATATATTTAAAAATATATTAGTAAATATTAAAAATAAACTGTAAAAATACATAAATTACCAAATAATAAAATTGATAAAGAACTGAATGAAAAGTAAAAATCTAAAAATGTAAAATGTATAATGTATAAAAATCTATGGCAGCCCTAATTATTACATCTTTTTAAATAATTGAAATACCTTACAGGGGTCATATGATGCGATTTAAATTTTTCCTTTCTCTTTGGAGTGTTACAAGCTCTTGGTGCATAAAGAAGATCTGTAAAGTTGCAAAGACTAAAGTCTCAAATTCAACGAGATATTCTTTATA